GGCGAAACGTCAGAAGAAAAATTGCCTCCAGAACATGGCCATATAGCCCGGAAAAACCTACAACAACCCTATGTTGAATTGGTTGACACTCAGTGAGATTTTCATTGAAAAACTATATCAAAATGTGCTGTAGGATGACTTGCAAAAAGAAAGTTTTTGCAGTTTAATAAACTTTTCCCATGTTTTTATGATAGAACCAATTAGGAAATGAAATTTATAACCCAGGAACAAAAATCGCGTTACATAGTGTCATCTGCTTTGAACAAGATTATATGAGTCTCTAGTGCCAGATATAGTTCACCTATATTCAGAGAGCACTGTGGACTCACACAATGGTGGATCTCAACCAAACTTGGCACAAATACTCAATGTGAACACTGGTGGAGCCTGGGGAAAATAGACCTTGACTTTTGGGAGTTGTAGTTGCTGGGATTTATAGTTCATTACAATCAAAGAACATTTTGAACTCCACCAACGATAGAATTGGCTCAAACTTCCCACATGGAATCCCCATGATCATCAGAAAATACTGTGTTTTCTGATAGTCTTTGGCGACCCCTCTGACACCCCTTTGTGACCCCCTCAGGGGTCCCGACCCCCAGGTTGAGAAACACTGCTCTAAGGCTATGATTTTCAGTATCGTATTGTAGTGCCCTGACCTGCATTAATTCTAGAATGTAGGCCACATCTACACTGACTTTTTAATGCAGATCGAACTGCATTATATGGTCAGTGTAGATTTATATAGTGCAGTTAAATGGCATTATATGAGTCTACACTGACCATATAATGCAGTTCTATCTGCATTAAACCTTTAATGGAGATGGGGCTATAGGCACAGTACCAAGTTGCAAAGAAGACCCAGAACCTTAGAGTTCTTTCCTGGTGACAACAGCATTGTTTCGAGGCCTTAGTAGAGAATTAAAGCAGATAATTTCTCTGTAGCTTGACTCTGCTCTGAATCCTCAGTGGAAGGGTGTTTGTAACCTTTGGCAACAGATGGTTTTAAAAAAACAGCATACGTTTACGCTGCGCTTGGGTGACAATCAAGTGACGCAATACACCTCGCTCAGGCAAATTCTTAGAAAAAAAAGAACCAGTTGTCCAAGGGACTATGTTATACACACAGTTTTGTTCTTTATCAGGAGACTAATCAGATAAATCTTTCGTTGATTGACTGAGGAGGGTATGTTGTAACTGGTACAGCTGTAATGAAGCAGACCATTGTATGGCAAGGGAGCAAAAAAATAGCCTTATTACGATCAGCCTCCACTTTCACTGGAGTTGGGGCAAAAAATCCCTGTGAAAGTTCAAATCTGCAAAAAAAAAATGTTATTTTTTTTAGCCTGAGAGAACAGCTCTAGGAATTTCTAGTTATTATTATTATTATTATTATTATTATTATTATTATTATTATTATTATTTTACTGACACAGCATTATTGTTATTATTATTATTTTACTCACACACTATGACACAGCAATAATAATTGTTCTCAATTATTAATAATACTTTATAATTATTAATATAATACAAATATAACATTATAATATTACCGTATATTAATAATTTATTATTATTATTCCAGCATGACTGTCTGCTCAGCCTTTTCTGGCAGCTCAACATAGAATTTTCCTGGAAGAACTAGAGATTTATTTATGTACTATATTTCTACTCCGCTTTTCTCACCATGAAGGGCGACTCAGAGTGGCTTGCATTTTGGCCACTTCAGTGCCACATTGCAAATATAGAGTATATAAATATAATACAATACAAATCAAAGAAAATTTAACATAAAATACAAAACAAAAATCACACAAAACATAATAACATCCAGGAAAAAGATATAAATAATTATTAAGCATTTAAAAAACATTTAAAACCAGTTACGATTATTGCAAAGACTCATCAATTAAAAAGTATATTTCGCTAACCTTAGTCATCAGTGATAAACATGACCCAGCGAGAAAATTAAGAGACATCTCCACAAAATAAATAAATATAATAAAATCCAAAAAAAAAAAAATCCCCACTAAAGACCAGGAGGTACAGAGTTGAAAATCTGAGCGTTGGCAGAGAAGCTAGCAGCCCAAATCCAAGCCAAGCCCGGTTTCAGTACTAAGTTGATGGCCAAAGGGGGGTGATTGGTAAAATTCCCCAGTGCTGTCGTCCTATAAGGTAACTTCGGTCTATTGCTAGCTAATGTGGACGACAAGTTAAACATGAGCCAACAATGTGATGTGGAGGCAAAAAAAGCCAATGTGATTTTGGCCTGCATCAATAGGAGCCTAGTATCTAGATCTAGGGAAGTAATGCTACCCCTCTATTCTGCTCTGGTTAGACCACACCTGGAATATTGTGTCCAGTTCTGGGCACCACAATTCAAGAGAGATATTGACAAGCTGGAATGTGTCCAGAGGAGAGTGACTAAAATGATAAAAGGTCTGGAGAACAAGCCCTATGAGGAGCGGCTTAAGGAGCTGGGCATGTTTAGCCTGAAGAAGAGAAGACTGAGAGGAGATATGATAGCCATGTACAAATATGTGAGAGGAAACCACAGGGAGGAGGGAGCAAGCTTGTTTTCTGCTTCCTTGGAGACTAGGACGCAATGGAACAATGGCTTCAAACTACAAGAGAGGAGATTCCATCTGAACACGAGGAAGAACTTCCTGACTGTGAGAGGTGTTCAGCAGTGGAACTCTCTGCCCCGGAATACGATACTTCTCTTCTTCAGGCTAATCATGCCCAGCTCCTTAAGCAGCTCCTCATAGGGCTTGTTCTCCAGACCCTTGATCATTTTAGTCGCCCTCCTCTGGACACATTCCAGCTTGTCAATATCTCTCTTGAATTGTGGTGCCCAGAATTGGACACAATATTCCAGGTGTGATCTAACCAAAACAGAATAGAGGGGTAGCATTACTTCCCTAGATCTAGACACTATGCTCCTATTGATGCAGGCCAAAATCCCATTGGCTTTTTTTGCCGCCACATCACATTGTTGGCTCATGTTTAACTTCTTGTCCACGAGGACTCCAAGATCTTTTTTACTGCTCTCGAGCCAGGCATCCCCCATTCCGTATCTTTGCATTTCGTTTTTCCTGCCAATCTTGCATTTGTCACTGTTGAACTTCATTTTGTTAGTTTTGGC